AGACTTGCTATTATGCAGCCATCAATATACGCACCTACGAAGTTGAGACTTCGAAAAACGTCATCTATGAACCTTTGGAAAATCCGGGCAGCATTTCTTAGGCCAAAAGGCATTCGCAAAGTTCATTGAGTTCAAAAAGAGTGATGATAGCCGTTTTTTGGAATATAGTCAGTGGCTATATGTACTTGGTTGTAAGCTTTAATGAAGTCAATTTTCGAAAAGACAGTTTTACCTTTCAAGGTAGCTGTGGTGTTATAACGTATAGATTTCTGGCCTATTAATATATATGTATATGTCCAATGATACAGAAAATACGTACGAGCAGTCTTGGGTGCTATTCGGTCCTTCCTATCTGCCTAGCCCAGCCGTTAAGTCCAAAACACAAATAACAGCCTCAGCAATATGAATCATTATTTACAAGCATACTGGGTTATATATACTAACCAAACAGACCACATATATCAAAAATAGAAAAATAAAATTTGTACAGTAATTGGCCAATGTGGCTGTAGCTAGGGGGAAAGTAATCAATAATAATAGTTCCAAGGTCAAAACAAAGGTTGTGATAAGAGGAACACGGAAACGATTAGGTCACTTATTTAACAACTATCCAATAGGAATAGGCGTATTACATTTGTCCATAAATGGACCTCAGATTTATGATTCGTAATTCGCCAGGGGATACAACATGTGGAATCATGAATGTGAGGCAACGGGTAACGATCGGAAATGGCATTTTCATTCAATCAACGATAATGTCCAGTTGGACGCCAATCATTGCTGTCCTTTTTGGGGACCATGTACAAAGGAGATGACCATGGGCAGTTTGACGGTCGAATGATTCTCAACTCTACCTAAGCTTTTCGGGAGCCAGTCGGCGTGCTTTCGAGAACACAAGTGGTTCTGTAGTCGTGATGTGATGTGTAACATTGCTGGTTACACATGGCGATTTCGCTCGCGGTTGTTATATCTCTGAGTACTTATCGAGTAACGATTGATATAATGGGTCTATCGTGTACCTAATTGTGACTGAGGATAATTTGCAGCCGGAAAAAGAAGTTACGCAAACAGATAATTTAGTGTTTCCGTCTACTAGCCTCCATTTGCGCATATCGATGAGCAGACTGAGGTGTTGAAGGAGGCCCATAGCAATGATTGGCATAGAAACATCTGCAACAACGAAGATTTAGTGAATGGGTCTGCGTAAACCAACGTTAAGGTAAGCGTACCCATTACCATATGTGGTGATCGGCTTTTCATTTGCCGTCTGTAAGTTTAGAACAGATCCATGAAGACTGTCGTTAGAACTTGCAAGAAGAACGCTGACTTCTGAGTCAGTATCGACGAGGTAGCAAACTTTGGTGATCACATGTGTGATGTATAACGGACGGCTTTGTTCGCCGGAGACGTTGAGCACGGCGCCCCCACCGGTGATCTGATGAGGACGCATGACCAAGCGACTTCAGCCAGGTGAGTCCATCAAAGCTAATGTGGCCAGAATCCAGTGTCGAACACTTACAGAGCTATTGATTCTGTCGATTCATTTACCGCTACACAGGTAATCATCGTCTTCTCTAAGCATTAGTATTTTATATTTCTTATTTTTGACAGTGAAATTAACTTATTTTCTGTCTGATAATCTGATAGTTGCTGGTTCCCGGAGCCACAATCTTCTGAGACAAACGTATTCACTCTAATTTCAATTTAAAATATTCACTTGCGGTTCGTGACGACTCTGTCATAATCATGAACCTTATTGACAACCCCGATCTTCCTCTCAGTTTGCAGGACAAAAATGATAGGATGCTCTGGGGAGAATTAAACAAGAGGCTTGAACTCCCTAGAATAAAGCCTTTGACCGTCACACGGCTCACTCGGGTGAAGGACTTTAACCACCTAAACCACCCGAGGCTGCTTCGTGTGACACTTAAGAATGCTTCCGACGTAGAGGACGTCCTGCTAGCCAGTCACTTACTGAAGTCCGATGGGAACGTAAGAATACTGCCCAACATACCGTATTCTGAACGAAATCTCATCCGGAACATCCCTAAGGAATCTCGCCAGACGTTTTTCCGTGGACGAAATATCATTGTGCAACTCAAGCAAACTCTGATATTCGGGAATGGAAATTCATCAAGCATTCCTTAAAACTGAAGAAAATATTGACCCAACAGGTAATGCGACTAGCCAAGAGAGACGGAGACTCTAGGCCCCGACTGTTGAAGATAACCTTCCCCTCCTCCCACATGGCGGCTGCAACTCTGGAAGCATTTCGTGCCAATAGACGTCGGTTGCCAACTGGCATCCATATGCATCCGGACAGGCCCCACGACAGCAGGATCAAGCACAAACGAAAGCTGGAGCTGACAATTCCACTCGTGGACTGTCTTTATCATAAAAAAAACGTGTAAAGGACAGGGACTACCAACTCGGTAAATATCGTAAAGGTAGGCTACCTGTTCACTCACACACGGCTCATATAGACAAACAAGAAGAAGCTCACGCGTTCCAAATTGAAAGCATAAACTGCCTATACACGAACGCCGCGAGCTTGCCAAACAAAATGGATGAGCTACGTAAGCTTAGCAACGCTAATGATGCCCATCTGATAGGAATATCCGAAACTTGGATAACGTCTCAGTTTACGGACCAAGAGTTAGCAATAACTGGGATGTCTTTATTTCGCAACGACAGAAAAACAGGAATGGGGGGTGAGGTAGCACTATACATACGGTCATGCCTGGATGCGCACCAACTTCACAACCAAGAGTTTCACAATCTTGACGAGTCAGTATGGTGCTCAGTAAGATTATCTACCACCTCGAGGTGCCTAGTTGGGGTCGTTTACAGGAAGCCCACTGCCGACATCGAATATGACAAACGTCTGCTAGAAGGATTAACTCGCTCTACGCGTCTCGGATTCTCTCATATCCTGATTCTAGGGGATTCCAATCTCCCTAGAATCAACTTCGTGGAACATACATACATTGGTGGTGCCAACTCTACTGAAGCTCTGTTCTTCAACCTTATCGGCGACCTGGGATTATTTGAAAATGTGAAGTCGGCAACCCGTTGGAGAAACAGTCAGACGCCGTCACGCTTAGACTGGGTATTCGAAAATGAAGAATTCCTAGTTGACGACCTCTCAATCCTGGCTCCCCTGGGGAAAAGTGACCACGCCATCTTATCATTCAGCTTTGTCAGCAAAACGGAGCTACGATATCCTACTAGCAACAAGCGCTGGAACTTCAAACGGTTGAATGTGTTAGCTTTACAGGACTATCTACAACAGGTGGATTGGGATGTTCACCCTCAAATTGAAGTGGATGCTCATTGAGATTTTTTACTGCACACGATCTTATGTGATACTGAGCATTCAGTTCCTAAAATGGTCCCAAAAAGCTACAAGCAACCTGCAATCATCAAGAACCGCACTCGTCGTTTGCTAAGCCGCAAAAGGCACTGTTGGGCTGAATATAAACAAACTGATAACAACGGCGCGTACAGGCAATACAAACATATAAGGAACATATGCATAAAGGCAATAAGAGAAGACAGGCTTCAGTTCCACACCAAGCTTATCGATAGATTCGTCTCCAATCCGAAAAGCTTGTTCAGTTATGCAGCTTCTCTTTGACAAGGCAAAACTGCAGTTTCCCAAATGCTTAGTCCTAATGGCCCGACCAACAACGACAGTGATGCCGCTAACCTTTTGGCTGAACAATACTCCCGGACATTCCAGCTGACCCACATCAACCATACTGACGAAAGCTTCACCTGCACCTCTACAGGACTTTCCGAAGTGGACCTGAGTGCTGACCTGGTGCTCCGTAATCTGCAGAACCTAAGAAAAGACACTTCTTCTGGTCCGGACATGGTTCATTCCGCTGTATTGAGGGAAGCAGCTTCAATCCTGGCGACACCACTTAGCGTGATGTTTGCACACTCGCTAAGCAGAGGCAAACTACCGGAAATATGGAAGCTGGCCCACATCACACCAATTTTCAAAGGAGGTCGACGCAGTGAACCCTCAAGCTACCGACCAGTGGCCCTTCTTTCCATACCTTCAAAAATTATGGAATCCCTAGTATTCGACGGCCTCTCAAGCAAACCTTGCACCGGTAACATTGAAGCGCATTTTTGACCAGTTTGACGGTAGAACCTTCCATATAATCTTCGACAGTTTTATTCGTCCCCACTTAGAGTACGGAAACATAGTATTTCCTCTCTCCCTCCAAAAGGATAAGGACACTGAAACGTATCCAACGGCGAGCCACGAAGTCAGTTCGAGGACTCAAATTCAAAGCTTACGAAGAGCGTCCCAATTACTTAACCTTTACCCGTTACAGTATAGGCTTCTTAGAGGTGACCTTCTTACGGCTTACAGTATCCTTAACACTTCTGGTCATCCCCTTAAACATCTTCTTAAGCTTAGTCACAACACTAACCTAAGAGGTAACACCCAGAAATTGGAGACCCTACATAGCAGAACAGAGTGCAGACACAACTTCTACTCCGTTAAAGTTGTCAAGTGCTGGAACTCGCTGCCGACTGAACTAGTCCAAGCGACCTCCCAGGAGTCCTTTAAGAGGAAACTTGACTTATTCTTAAGGACTAAGGATAACATATTATTATGATTTACCAAATTCTTTTTTTCCTCTATTATCGTTCATATACCTAGGTTCTTACCTGGAGGTATTGGTGATCCACTGCTACTAGACACGGAAGCTCCGTTAAGCGAAAGCTTCTTCTATTCCGTCCTCAACCATTTGAACCATTTGAACTAACAAAATGAGTTGGATAAATGAAGTTCAGTGGCTAATCTGTCTTCGATAAAACTTTAATGAGGACATGAAAATAACTAAGTCAACATGAAGTGAGTGCAAAGAAGCCAGTTGGTTGATGTCAGGCAGACACAAAATTTTTCTATATCGGGTGTGTTTTAATTCACAATTTTCCAATGAGCACCATATAAACAGAGTGATGAAAATTCAAATTGCATGTCGAAAAACACAAGTCGGAGTAAGGCGGAAAAGGGGAAGAATATCAATACATCTTTAATCGTTCAAGATGTGATCCCTGGGAAAGCTTCGGAATCCGAATGGTTTGCATGAAATTATCTGTTATCTGTTAAGGAACGAATTGATTGAAGATGATTTGGCAGAAAAGACATGTTATGATATTGTCAAAGATATAGTTGATGAATCACTCAGTGCCATATACCAGATATACTTAAATAATCAGTTAATACCATTCACAGTTTATCAAGCATCTCTGTGCCTCATGCAATACATTGACGTAACTAGCGCCATACAATTTTGTATATTACAGAACATAGTTAGAATTCATGTCCTGCGATCAAGGAGAGCCTAATATTAATCTTAACCCAGAGTGGTTTGAAGATGAACGTACGTACTGGTTTTTATACCTGGACTTTGTTTGTTAGTTGCTGAATCAAGTAGAATAGATTCATGGGCTCAAGGAGCGATTTCCAAGACTTATTATGCAAAGATCTCAGACAGTGAAAAACCTCAAAAGAATCATCAAGTTTTACCAAAGCTTCAGACCAGTTTCATCCATAAGTAGGTGCTTCTGTCTTTGATTTGAGGAGCGTATTTTTTATCATTAACATAATGTTAATTCAGTGGCCATTTACATGACTTTAGTTAGATCGGACAAATGATCGTTAACAAATGGTTGCTTTTGAAACCAAGACTACACTACTCTGAAAATATTTTTCTAAAGAAGGGTGCTTCCTACTGCAAAAGAAAAGATGCATTTGCTTGCTTTAGTAGTGCTTGAGGTATATTCATGAAAACTTGGTGAATAGTCTTTCATGGTCTACTTTACTTTGATTTACATGTTTTAAGCCGGCCTGTTTGGACCAAAATTGCTTACTAGCACTGTGCAAAAAGTAAAATATTAACAATAGAGATCTAACTGTTAACTCTAGAAACTAAAGAATTAGGCAATAAAACACAGTTTGAGGTTAAATCTCATCAAATATACAAAATAAATCTACATTTATTGATGAGGAAAGTTCGTCACTGTTCATAATGAAGGTATTTATAATTGAGATAGTCTGATAGTCAAGGCTTCGATAAATCTGGGTGTTCCAGTCTAAATCTGTTTGTAGTTTGGTTGGATTTCATACTAAAGATGTGCTCTATACGACAAGACTGAACGATAATCGTATAAACGTGTTTTCTAACGAAGTAACTCAAAGACAAACAAAGCGAAAGACTATGATTTTTGGGTTAAATATGAGATTGGTCACATTCATGGTGACAAGGGTTGATGTTTTACGAAACCACTAATTTGGACATTGATTTCGAGTTCTCATGTAACTTGATATTTGGGAACTGCTAGCCCTCGTAATACTATTCTGACACCGGTAAATTTTCTGATAAATCAGCAAAGAATATGACTTGGTTAAGAATTACGTGATAGCATCAGATTATCCAACAATATTCCTATCGGTTTGAGGCTGGTTCTAATGGTGTTGCCCTCAACAGTAATACAGTTCTACAGTTTACAGTTGTGAAAAGTAATATAACATAAAGTAACCCTATTATTCAACATGTTTAAATTTTCTGTAACGGATCAGTCGATTAGATAGAATAATGGAGTGAGCAAATAACTGAATTAAACCTAGACGTTCAGACCCGAAATGAAAGTTATAACCGGTTAGATTTCAAAAGAGAAAATCATATTAAAATATGTGTAAACATGCATTACGTAATCGAAACATTCACAGATTATTTGACTGAAGTAGCATGATTTCAAGTTATTTATTTATAGATGAAGACCAATGTCAAAGAGTAACTAATGGTCCTTTACTTTTATTTGTTGCAAAATATTGATGATTTCATTAATACTGTTGAGATTTGAAATCACAACATTTTACTTATCATATCTCATTAAGTGGATGAATGCAGTTACATTAGACAAATGCCTTGTTCTTATTTAGAACTCCTCAATACTGTTGAATTGCCGATGTCACACAGAAATGATTGTAGATCTGTTGGGTGTTTTAATGTTCAAAAAGAATCATTTATATAATTAAAACAAGTAAATTTAAGGCTAAGGTTATATCCCGAAGAGAATTATGAATTGTAACTTTTGAGAACTATTTATGGACCAATATTATATGTATATTTCCTATTGTATAATTGTTAAGTAACTAAACTATTTTTATTCGTGTCCTTCTTATTATGAGTTTTATCTTGACCTATACATTATTATTATATGATTTACCATTCCTGAATTATACCCAGTCTATTGATTACTGTTCCTCCCTATTCACAGCCACATTTGGCTAAATCCTGTAGAAATGTTATTTCCTATTTTATGGTACGATGTGGTCAATTTGTTTGGTATATAAACCCAGTATGTTTGAGAATAATGATTCATATTGCAGAGGCTGTTGTTGATGTTCTGGACTTAACTGACAGAAAAGCAGGACTGATAAGTACTCAAGACTGCTCATGCGGATATTATGTATCATTGAGCGATCAATAAATTCATTTCTCTCTCATTGGCGGGAATCATCACGTCATATATAGACTGGCCACTCACTCGATCGATAATAACGGCTTAAAACGTTCCATTTTATATATTCTATTTTATTATTTTCAGAAATGAAGATGTTAGTGAAAATAAAGCCATTCGTAAGGAACATACCACTGACAAGTTCCATAGTGAAAAACCCCATCAAATATCAATTCAAAAGAAGAAGCCTAAAAAACTGAAAAACAATTTAAACAAGGGTAAATCAAATTGTTTAAAAATCTAACAATATTAATTCAACAAAAGTCAGTCAGTCAGATACAACGTAGGACCAGGTAATAGATAGGACGAATTATTTATTCATAAAACCAGTAATCCCTGATGTTCAATGATTGTTTTGTTGAATGAGGTGTGGCAACTTGGATCGATGCATATATGTGTCTGATCACCAACTTCTAGACTAAGCAATGTTGGTAGATATAGACTACTTGGTTGGGGTCCGCATGACTATCGTAACCAAAGGTCGGAGACTATGTGTGGCATGGCTCAGAATCGATCACAATGGCACATGTGTATACACTCTTTATCTTCCCCTAAATCTTGAGATTAAAATTGATTCATATTTGTCTTCCTTCCTATACTATATCCTTATATACAACCTATCTTTTATATACTACCACCGCTAAATTAACTACTTCTATGAATCCGGTGTTCATCTTGTTGTGCTAACGAGGTATGTCAACTTGGACCGATGTATAAATGTTCCTGGTCCTACGTTGTAGCTAACTTACTGACCGTCTCACTTGACGTACTCATTATATGTTCTCAAAACAATAACATCCTTTTAAAGTTTGAAATTTATGGTTTACCTTGCTCATTTTTATGGTATTTTAATGTTGGGTGTATTAATATACAAAAATGTATTATACTTTCGTTTATTTATGTCAGATAGCACTGATAAAATCTTTAGTTTCAATATACATACTTTGTTATTGATGAAACTGTTTATTGTGAAAAGCTTTACCTTTTTTCTAGATGATTTTTGTTATATAGTTAAGGCCATGAGTCAATTGAATCTAGATTACCGTGGAAAACCTGGAAGCACTGGACGGCCGTTTCGTCCTACTGTGGGACTACTTAGCAGTGCGCATCCACGATCCCGCCACGTGGGATTCGAACCCAGGACCTACCAGTCTCGCGCCAGAGCACTTAACCGATACACCACTGAGCCTGCCGGCATCTAGCGGTGTTAATGTCTAACTTCAACCAATCCACGAAATTGCACGGCCAACCTCCATTGTACTGAGGTAGATACCTGTCTCTACCTAACATGGATTAGCTCCACTGGCCACGACTTCTCACCAGAACTCCAGGTATCTTCCTCGGTACAATGGAAGTCGGTCGTGCAATTTCGTGGATTGGTTGAAGTTAGACATTAACACCGCTAGATGCCGGCAGGCTCAGTGGTGTATCGGTTAAGTGCTCTGGCGCGAGACTGGTAGGTCCTGGGTTCGAATCCCACGTGGCGGGATCGTGGATGCGCACTGCTAAGTAGTCCCACAGTAGGACGAAACGGCCGTCCAGTGCTTCCAGGTTTTCCACGGTAATCTAGATTCAATTGACTCATGGCCTTAACTATATAAAATTACTAAAATTTCTACAAGCCCACTCATGACGATTTTTGTTAATAAGCGACATGAGAGTTGTTGAAAATCAAGATGTATTAACCGAGTTTGAGGAAATGAGCACCAATGACGATGCTTAAGATTGAATTGTGAACTGTTAAACTTCACAACAACCATGATAGCTTTAAGACATTCATTTAAACTTCAGTGGTTCCAACCTGATATATTACGGTTATTTGTTCAATGTTTCCAATGTTGTTATTTGCACTGACATCATCTACCATCATAAAATGAGTCACTTGCCGGTATAATTTCCCGTCGCCAATACACATATCTCCAATTAACCAGTTTATGTTGACACATTTGCCTCATGACCAGATTGTCAATATATATCTGGCATACAAATAGTGGTACAATCAAGAACTCACATATCTCCCTTATCAATGAATGTCATATCAAGTCAATCTACTCGGGATGCACATATGGCATCAGAGACAGATCAATTCGAGTTTTGAATATCGACAACGGGGAATTACAAAACTTTTTTAACTACTTCATACTTTTTGATTAAGTTACTGGCTGCATGCCCACGGTAGCTTAATGGATAGTAAGTTGGTATCTATAACGGGGTTCTAATACGATGTTCTAGTCTCATCTTAAATATTAACAATATGGCACAAGCAGATCCAGTTGAAAAGTCTCAAATAGGATGAAACTCATGTTCGTGGCATCGCTCCTAGCCACATTCTAAATATATCAAAACAATAAGGTAAACGGCTTTCAAATAATATTGGCGTCTAATAAAAATTTCTTTTCAATTATAGATCACACCATTATGCCTAGTGAACAAAAAGATTCCATCCATGAACTAACTAAACAGTTAAAAGATTCTACATTGAAATCGTCTATAGAGAATGTATCTATGGAAGTGAGATAATTTTCTAATCTGTTCAATTTCTCCAGAAGAATATGTTAGTTAAAAATGACAATATCAGCAAAGAAGATAATTTAAATAAAAGGAAATCAAGGAAGCCACTCATGAAACAACTGCCTGAAACTATGGTAATTATAGTCATTGTTAAGTGTATATACTAAAATATTCTGTCAGTTATGTTTATTGTTAGGTATGTGATAGCAGACACAATAAAAGCTTTGTTTGATTTCGATCTCTACTCCTTTTTTACAGGTCGTAGATGCTAATTGCTGATAAGGTTCACACTAAAGAGAACCGACTGCCTAGTGATTCCAGGTTCTCAATCGCTGTCTAACTTACATCGGTCCGTAATTTCAATGAAAAATAATTTTGTTTCTTCACTTGGAGTAAACTAAAAACTCGTTATGATGTATCATCAGTTCTTATTTGGATTTCACTATCATTATTTTTACAACATGAAGCACTTGGAGATCTAAGGTTTAAAAACTTTCAACTGAGCCAGTCACTTTTTTTCTACCTGGATTGAAATGTGAACACTTAGTTTCAGCAATTCAGTGATTGTATTTGATTTTATATCGAATAACAGATATCTTACAAAACTCCATGTCTTAATATCATTCGTTCTGTCTCGTAGTACCAGCAAATTTTCTATACGTTACATCACATTACATGTTAGAAAAACTAACTTGGATATTTTAGTTCAGTGCAGTTTCACAATAGTAAGATTAAAGCGCGAACTACTTATTTATTTGATAGTAGTTCAACAAATTAAGTGAAATTTTATTTTGAGATTTGATTGTGACATTTTTTAAAATTCTATGTAGTTACAAAACAAACGAATAAATGGATCTGGAAAATTAGTTTTTGACGATGAAGGAAATCTAATAAGTGTACCCAAGTTATATCCAGTCAATAATAATAAGCAAGATGAATCATTCACTACTGATTCACATTCAAATGGAACTGATAATAATATTTTAGGAAATAAAATTCCAATTCAATGGCGTTTTGTATCAGAGTCATATTCTAACAGTACAACTAACAATCAATTTGGCATACGAATGAATAGTAAAGTGAGAACAGCTAGATCGTCCATATCGAATGTAAGTTTTGTTTTGTCTATATGTATTTTCTTTCTATCCAATATTGTATTCTAATAGAATTAATCGTAGTGATAATCAACTTGACCTAGAAGGCTTTATGCTAGCTGGGACTTGTCAATAACACTAGCCTATACTCCTAAAAAAGACAACCCTGACAGTTGGATATGAACAAATATCAATCAGATATGTAAACGTAAAAGTAACCGATGAGACAACTGAAATCCTGAATAACCAAGAAATGTGTAGATAATAACAGGGTTGATGAAACCAGAAAATCATGGTTATCTGTAAGATTGTTGATTGTTGCTTTTAGCAAGGTGATATTTCGGTATGAAGACTGAGTGATATGACTACAGATACGCAGTAATAGAGCATATTATGTCTTATCCTATAATTCCCGATCTTCGATCACATTTATCTTTGTAAAGTGTGTCTTTTATTTAGAGTTTCCTTTGAAGGGTGACATTAATGTTCCACTTTATCTTCTATTCAGTTCGTTTCAATTCGAACATGGAAATATTAAAGAATGTTATCAGTAAAGTGAATATGTAATGGTAAAACTTGATTCTCTTACTGTGGCTTGTACCCACATTGACCAATATTACAATTAAGGAAATTATTAATGATCTGTTTGAACAGTAATCAACTTAATATTCGAATGAAATCTTATCACTAAACAATCTATAATCACTAGATACTTTCATATAATCCAGTGAGATAGCCTCCAAATGTCCTGGTACGGCCGAGAGTGAGGAGACTCCGCTCTCCCTCTTCAAATGCTCTCACATAGCCACGTGTATATAGCCTCTACCAGAGAAGTCTTAGTCACTGCCTTCTCACACCACGGGTGTTCTTTACGAAATTGAGAGGACGAAAAGCAAATGTCCGGCGCTTTAACTGGGTTGGTGGACATGGAAAGTTCACCTAAGGGAATTTGGAAAACTGAGTCCAAACCAATGGTGCACATGGGCTCTCCAGTATCCTGAGGGAACAAGTGGTGTATGAATCAATCGTTGATCACTGGCTATCATGGGACTGCATCTCCTCACGATGCTCCACTGTCCTGTGGATCAGATCTTTAGATCACAGACTTCGGGTGTGATCCCCTAATAAAACCATCTTTTTCAGTTTGGGCACCTGGGCAGTATCACAGCCCTCACACGAATCGAGTAAGATTTGTGCGGCGCATATATATCTGGTGCTTCCTTGTACCAATATTTATGTGTTTAAATAAATAAATAAATCCAGTGTGTAATGATGATGGAGTCATATGGATCCAATTGAGATATAAACCTTCGAAAGTTATACTGGTAGACAGATATGACCAAAATATGATTTAATCCATAGAATCAAATAGACAACACAAACTGAAGAAATGTTATTTACATTATTACTGTGAAATGTGAATAGATCTGGATTGTTTTTAATCAAAATTCATAAGGAAAAATTAAGCAAGCACTAAATTGAACAAAACTTATGACTTCAGGCAATATCGAGTTAATCCGTACAGGATGTACATAAGCCAACAAGAGACTGATCAATTACAGTCCTAAATAACAATGGAAAGATACAAGTAAACAACACCAAGTGAATATAACTTCACCTCATTGCACAAGCAGGTGGCTATCAGGACTCAGTAGCTGAGTGGATAACGCGATGGTGTTTGAAGCGAACGGTACTGGGTTCAAGTCCCAGAGTGCAGGTACATCCAGCTGACGAGTCCCAAACAGGACGAAACGAGCGTCCTGTATTCCACTTCTAGATCTTATCCATCTTTGCTTATTCAGGTCACTGTTCTACTTTACTGATTAATACTCACCAATCAGGTTATTAAATAAGAACTACAGAGTGTGTAGGTGCTCAAATGTTTTTCATTCTGTCGTTAGTTTGTAACTTATTCAATTGGTTACAATAACTTTTACTCATGAATTCTTTTTAACTATAGTCTTCAAATAAAATGAGAACAAGAAATCGTAGTTTAGATTTAACGAATACCACAATTACACCTGATGTAATACGTTTACAAAAAATTAAGAATGCATGTGTCAATTTACCAAATACCATCGATTTGGTTGATTTAGTTGCTGGAGTAACAATATCTGATGGAGAACATTTAAAAATTGGTCAGTTAAGGGTAAGTAGTTTTTCTTGTATTCTGATTGAACTGACACTTAGTGTAAGTAGTTCTTACAAATGAACTCAGCGTTGAACAAAGCTGAAAACAACAAAACTATCTACTTAGTAAGCAAGGATGGATAGTGGCTAGCAGTGGAATCCAGTTTGACGCGCGACACTTCGTCTTATTTGGGACTCGTCAGTTGGATGTACCTTCATCTCAGAGTTGATGTTCACTCTGGGACTCGAACCCAGTACCTTAGTAATTGAGTGTTACTTTTGCACTTGTTTAATATTCCTTAAACTATTGCATTTCACTAGACTTGAACTGATAAAGAATGAGGTCAAGAGGAAACGAAGATGATATTTTATACATATGGAATTACAAAATATACTGTAGCAAAAAGACAACACCATTGCCTTTAAAAGGCAATGAGTAGGACTTTCCTGACAGTGTCTTTATACACGAAACCATATAACAACATTTCGAGAGGAAGGTCGGACTTTCCTGACCATCGGCCTTATCAGAGCATTTTTCCTGTTATAAAACATGAGTTATGCATATCCTTCCTGTGAACATTTGTCAAACGTCTATCATGATAATTAATCGTGAATTCAAGTACTTTTTATAAAATTAATTTGTAGTTGAAATCATGAGTCAATTGAAGCTAGACCACCATGGAAAACCTGGAAGCACTGGACGGCCATTTTGTACAATTATAGGACTCCTCAGCAGTGCGCGGGATCGTGGATGACTCATGATTTCAACTATGAAAAATTCTGAAATCTCCACAAAACTCCCTCTGAAATTAATTTGCTTAAAATTTTCTGATATTTTATCTGTTCATAACTGATTTGTTTTATAAAGGATTTCATCAATGATCAGTGATCACAATCATTAACATGATCTTGATTATTGTCACCCAAAAAAATCGATATTGTTTTTCGGGAGGAAATAAATTGAAAGTATCGATTTTAAATAAATCAAACTTTCAAGTGAATCGATATTACTTTTGAGATGGTGGAGAAGATTTGTAGCTCAGGTGGATGCTTCGGGTACTTCTACCCGAAATTTGTGCTGATGATGTCATTCAGAAGGACGATGAAAGCTCCACGACCAAACCATCCAGCTCAGAGAACAAACCAACATCAGAATCGATATTACGTCTAAAAAAACTCTTGTGCTGCATAAATACTTACAACTTATCAATTTCAATACCACAGAAATATTTGGGAACGATAAACTAAATTAAAACATGCTAATCACTCGAACAACATTGTCGACGTCATAGTGTAACCTGCGGATCCTGGATTTGATCCCACCATAAATGATATAGCATTCCAGATCATCACAACTATAGGAAATCAAATGATTCAACCGCAGTATGATGTTGGATGTAGTGATCATTATTATCTCATGTGACGAGCTAATTGGACTGATTTGGTTGGAGCAGTAGATGTTCAAGACTCTACTTTTTTCTGACGCTGGAGCATACTAAGACCAAAGTCTGCGAAATGAAGTCCTAGATTTAGCCACTCTGTTGAATGCAGTGAAGTCTGTTATAAATAAAATTACTCTTACTTGTAACCAAGATATCTGATGAAACTGTCTACGAATCGAAAGAAATAGGAGTTAGCAACAGTCTAGTAATAAATTGAGTAATTATTTACAGAAAGATTAGCTTCAAGATATTGTTACTTGTGGTCACACTATCTGTTAGTAATAACAGCCATTATCTATGTCTAACTTAAAATTTATTTTGACGTTAGACAGTCGAAGGCGATTACCAGTAATCTCAAAGACATAAGTTATGTTGGAGCTCATCACCAAAATGTAGCCATAGTGATGAAACAAATGATCCTTCTCTATTCCCTAAAATGTTATGTGTTTCATCACTTCGCAACAAAGTTAGTGATTTTTCATAGTTGAAATCATGAGTCGATTGAAGTTAGACCACCATGGTAACCTGGAATCACTCGACGACCGTTTCGTCCTTGTCTGGGAGTCCTCAAGCGTGTGCATCCATGATCCCGCCTCGCGAGATCCGAACTCAGGACCTATCAGCCTCGCGTGCCAGTGTTTAACCACTAGACCACTGAGCCGGTCGGCATCCAACGGTGTCATTGTCTAATTTCAACCAATCCACGATGTTTGAGCAATCGTTCACTGGTAGGTCCTGAGTTCGAATCTCGCGAGTGCGGGATCGTGGATGAGCACTGCTGGGGAGTCCCAGAATAGGACGAAACGGCAGTCTAGTGCTTCCAGGTTTTCCATGGTGGTCTAGCTTCAATTGACTCAAGATTTCAACTATGAAAAGTTCTAAAATCTCCACAAAACCCCTTCTGACTAACGAGTGTTATTGAACACGACATTATAAAATCCTTTCAGTTGATTGACATTCATCATTTAAATAAATTTTAAAACTGATTAATATTATATAACATAATTAATATTTTAATAGTTGAATCCATGATCTTGCATACTAGTGACTAGCTTCAAGATGAATTTTATGGAGTTCTAGTAAGATGTCGTGACCAGTGGATTTCAGTTCGTGTCAGGTGGAGACAAATATCCTTCCCAGACAATGGATGAAGAGTTATAATTCAACACCGTTAGATGCAGGCTCAATGATCTAGAGATTAAACGCGAGAAAGAAGGTTCTGAGTTTGATTACCCCGTGAGGGATCGTTGATGCTCACTGCTGACGAGTCTCATGCTAGAATGAAACGGCAGTCCAATGCTTCAATGGTTGTCTAGCTTAGATCGATTCTCACAAATCCTCATTCTGATAATAATCAATATTCTTATACCTTTGATACCATGTTTTTTAATATATTTATTCATTTCTATATTATAATCGTAGAATGAACAGTTCACGTATATTTTGAATACAAATTGGAATGATCTTGATGAAATTCCACCAGTCAAAGCAAATTAAAATGATGAACCATAATGATTTATATCTTCAAAGTATTTCTTTACATGAATCATTTACAAACTACACACCAATACACATTGATATATTCAAATTGATTGATCTTTCCGTTTTATTTGTGATGATGGGGATCGGGGATTGGTGAAGAGGATGAAGTAGTAGTAGAATTGGGTTGAAAGGAAGCACAAAGGGATTAAACTGGAATGTAACTTTGTTGATGATTGAATTTGATTAATACCGATAGATTCCAGGTTAGTAGTCTACAGGTTAAGTATTTGCATGTGAAACTGAAGGTCCTAGGTTAAAATGTCCCATATGAGAGATCATGGATGTACACTTCTAACGAGTCTTATGATAAGATGAAATGGGCATCCAGAGCTTTCAGGTATTAATTGGTTGTCTAACGTTGATTACTTCATTGTTTTCAATGAATTGAGTGAAATGAAATGTAGATTTCGAGGTTGTGATTGTTATATGGTGTAAGAGTAATCAAACCATAATGTAAGATTCATGTTTCATCCTATTTCGAACTCATCAGCTAGATGTATTTGTGCGTGTGTTGGTATTTTCACAGAGACTTCAACCCAGTACCTTTTGCTGAGAATACCTAAAGTGATATTCATTGAATAGCTGAGTCCAATTGGCTACTGGCTTATGAAATGGGCATGATTTTTCAGTCATACTTGAACAGTCCTCTTATCAATATTGATGACTGAATTTTAATTAGTCTACTGCATTAGCAACGTGTAACGTTACAGCTATATTAGGGTATAAGATATACAACTCCTCAATGATTGATCAATATCTGGTCCTCTGTATAGACAACGGGATAAGTCAAATACTTACTAATATTGATTTTACCGATGTTCTACAATAGTTTTATGTCTTGACACTAAGATAAAGTTCGTCTTCTTTGATAGAGGTTTTGTAACAGGGTTTACCAAAGAAATGTGTATACCTCGTTAAGGCTTTGTACTTGAACAATATTGGTCATATGAGTTTACGATAAAATGTCATTGAAACTAATAACATCAACCTGTGTTTATTGAGGCTGTTGATTTACCCTATTTTATTTAACCTCTTTACAGACGTTCTTTGAAAAATAAAATCCTCTACTCACAATTGATTGATCACTGGGTGGTGATCAATGTCATGCGTGTCAAGTACTTCTTAGTGCTCATCGAATGCTATCGATCACCACCCAGTGATCAATCAATTGTGACTACATCTCAGTCCTACAGCAGGTCGTTTGCGGCCCGAATAGCTCAGTGGTAACGTCGCTGACTGTGAAGCTGAGTGACACGCGATCGAATCCGTCAGGGAGCACCAGTTCCCTAAAGATTACAGGTACACCATACTGACGAGTGCCAAGTAGCTCGAAACCCGAGTCCAGAGTTTTCTGTTGACCACCTCCAACCACCATCTGAAAATCCTCTTCCAACTTTCAGAGCGTTATCTGCTACCAGAGGATTCATTTCTCATCGTTGACTACAAGAATGATATGGTTTTCTTTGGTGATGGTGTTCGGGCATGAACACATAGGAATGCCACTAAGAGTAATCAAACCGAGACACAGCATTAGTCCATGAAATCACTGACTGTTCATGTGGGTCATATTGACAACTTTAGATTATCATAAATATTATCTAAAGACACGCTAATGTGATCAGTAAGCTGTCAGATCCACTCTTTGTCACCCCTTCGATCTTGACCTTCTGAAATAATACCTTATGTTCTGTGAATCAACCATTTTGTCTCGAATTATTTTTTTTATCTGTAATGTCGTTTGCTACAATTGAAACTAGTGCTTCTTAGAATAGCCTGAGTCATCTGGGTAATTTTATGTCCCCCTATTGATGTAGTGTCTGAACTTGTGTGTGTCTAAATATGTGAAGTTGGGGGGGGGGCTAGAAATTCCTGTCGATAAATGAATAGGGTTAATTTCAATAGCATTACATAGTAAATATAGACATTTACAATCGGGAAAAATGAAACAGAGAGCACAGAATAAAAGGAGTAAACATGACTGCGATACTTACTTACTTACTTACGCCTGTTACTCCCAATGGAGCATAAGCCGCCGATCAGCTTTCTCCAACACACTCTGTCCTGGGCCTTCCTTTCTAGTTCTATCCAACTCTTGTTCATTCTTCTCATATCTGTCTCCTTTTCTCGGCTTAATGTATTCTCTGGTCTTCCTCTTCTACTTTGGCCTTCAGGATTTCATGTGAGGGCTTGTCTTGTGACGCAGTTGGGTGACTTCCTCAAGGTATATCCTATCTACTTCCATCGCTTCTTCCTGATTTCTTCCTCCTCTGGAATCTGGTTAGTTGTCTCTCACAGTAACTTGTTGCTGATAGTGTCTGGTCAACGGATCCGAAGTATTTTGCATAGACAACTGTTAATAAACACCTGTATCTTTTGGATGATGGCTTTCATAGTTCTCCACGTCTCCGCCCCATACAGCAGAACTATCTTGACATTTGTCAAGACGCTAACCAGATTTGCCATAATATAGTTAATAAGCTCTTTTATCACCTATAGCTTTGGATAGATTTTGTTTAAATTAGTTGAATTAACCAAAGTAGTTTCGGTGTAAAGCAGCTGATGAAGGTAATTATACTCATTAAAAAACAATAATCTGAAAATTTAATAACCCTATAATTTCATTGGTGAATTGGCATGTAGTCATGGCTACATGTAATTTCAAGGCCATTTAAGAGTACAGGTAACAATTAATGTAGCGAACAAATAAAAAAAATGTAATTTGATTTCAAAGACAGAATGCATCAAACGATTACAGAGTTTCGAAAATTTACTTAAAAGAAGACGTGATCTATCCCTTTCTATATGGAACTATGAATACTGTAACTAGGGTTTTCCTCATATTGGATTGTAGCAGTGAATGTGAAAGGTAGTCTATTTCATGTTTTGAGGAAACGATTAAATTCAGTTGAAATTTACTCCTCCATAAATGGTCAAGCCCAGACTTAATGAGTGTACATTTATAGTTCGAAGGATAATCAATCTAAAGAATTGTAGTGCGTAAATTGTCAGTGAACAGATTTCAATCCAAGTTTATGTTTTATAAGAACACTACTCAGAATGAAAATGCATTATTATTAGAAGGGGTTTTTGTGGAGATCTTAGTAATTTTATAGTTGAAATCATGAGTCAATTAAAGCTAGACCACCATGGAAAACCTAAAAGCACTGGACGGCCGTTTCGTCCTATTGTGGGACTCCTCAGTATTGCTCATCCATTATCCCGCCTTGCAAGATTTGAAACCAAGACCTATCAGTCTTGCGCCAGAGCACTTAACCGATAGACCATTGAGCCGGCATCCGAGAGGTAAATTCAGGAGTTTTAGTGAGAAGCAGTGACCAGTGGAGTTCAAACCACGTCTGTTGTGTGATAGGAACTCACTGAAGACAAGACTGAAGACATACTGTTGTTTGTAAACGATTCATTTTGACTTATATCTGATCAACTTTTTGAATGATTCATTTAGATAAGATGATTGTAGAAACTGAAGAGATTTCATTGAAAAGTATATTCTTCATTCATATGAAATTGAGAATAACCTGGTGATTAAAATCTCTTTATTATTTGACAGCTGTGTCGAAACGAGCAACGAAGTCAAGTGAGGAAGACCAATTTATTGCTTAATGCACAATCACATAGCAAATTCATTTAGTATTGTTTGTTTGAATCTTCCCATCGATGTGTTAGGACTGCAACTGGTCAGTCTCTAATTGGCATATGTGTATACTGTGCGTAATGCCTCGATATAGCCTTAATTCAAGTGGACTCAGGACTCAGTGGCCGAGTGGATAACATGATGGCGTTTGAAGAGAAAGGTACTGGGTTCAAGTCACAGAGTGAACATCAACTCTGAGATGCTGGTACATCCTGCTGAAAAATCCTCATTAGGACGAAAAGCGCATCAAACTGGATTGCACTGTTAGCCACTATTCATCTCTGCCTACCAATCACATAGTAATTTATTAAAATCATACATTATTTGAGCATCTTCTTTGAAGTTTCTCTTACAAGTTTGATTGTTCTTTCATTTCTGTTGTTATCTTGATTACTTTCAGTTTTCTTCTCAATTCTCTTCATTTCATTCCTTTTAACTTTCAGTTTGTAGACATTCCACTTCCAATTGTTGTCACATACTACTTATATCTATCGAAATAAGTAGTATACATTACATTTCTGAATATTGTGCATCAAAAGTGAATACGAAAAGTTCATAGAATTCGATATCTCTCCAACTTTATAAGTAGCTTATAAAGTAATCATATGAATATAATTTTTTCTTTTAAACTGTCATATATACAGTCAGCAGAACCTTTATGCAAGAATTCATGCCCTCATTTATGAATTATTTGTACATGATCTTTATTGTTACTTTGATGATAGATACAAGTTCAATCAAATGAACCTTAATGACAATTCAACTTGCATTTTGTTCCTTACAATTATGTAATCACTTTTAATTGCTTAAGATTATTTCTTCATTTGTTCTATCGATCAATATTCTGTATTACGTAACTTATTTCACAGTTTATTCTTCTATAATTGAAATCATGAGTCAATTGAAGCTAGATCACGATGGAAAACCTAGAAGCACTGGACGGCCATTTCGTCCAATTGTGGGACTTTACAGCATTGCGCACCCATTATCCCATCTTGAAGGTCTCGCACGCGAGATTATGGATGCGCACTGATACTGAGGAGTCCTACAATGGGACGAAACGTGCGTCAAACTGGATTCCACTACTAGCCACTATTCATCTTTGCTTATAATTATTTTGTACATTGTTTTCCCCTCAAAATAACTCTTGCATTCATATTGATTCAATTCAATTTGATCATGAATAAGTTTTATTCAGTTGATTGATAATTACTTGGATCCATTTTTATCGATCCAATTATTGATTACTTCAAAAAAAGGGGTCAAAGATCATATATTATAAATGAATCCTATTCAATGATTTATTATATAATAGTTATATGACATTACATTTACATTTAGTTTATCTTACAAGGGAAATTACATAAATTGTGTTATTCGAGTGTCTCTCAGTGTACATCTCTTAGATTCAAAATAAGAATAACTTTTAATGAAACAATCAAAGTGAGTGATTTCTTATTTTCAGAAAGGAGATCATGAATCAATTGAAGCTAGACCACCATGAAAAACCCCATCTGATATGAATCAACATATGCCTACTAGTGACTGGCTTCAAGAGTTCTAGTGAGAAGCAGTGACGAGTGGAGTTCAACAAGGTGTGTTGTGAGATAGTAACTCACTGAAGACATTGATGGATGTGTCACTCAATTTTGTTGTTTGGTTGATATTAAACATGAACACCATTGGATGCCAGTCAGATCAGTGGTCTAGTGGTTAAGTGCTCGCTCACGTGACTGGTAGATCCTGGGTTCGGATTTTGCGAGTTGGGGTCGTGGATGCGCACTGCCACTGAGGAGTCCCATAATAGAACGAAACGGCTGTCCAGTGCTTTCAGGTTTTCCATGATGGTCTAGCTTCAATTGATTCATGATCTCAACTATTAAAATTTCTTATTTTATTGAGTTTTTGTTTTATGATTTATATTCTGTTATAATCTTATTTCTGAATTGAATTCAAGTGTTGACATGGTAATATGATTCATAGGTGAAGTGATAAGGTATGTAGATGAATTTTGTCAGTGGGAAATGAAAACCTGGAAAATGATAGCGGACTGTTGTAATTTCACAATTATTAAAACTAGTTGTAATGGCTTTATAAAGTTTATTCATCACGTATTGATGTTGTTTGGGATTTTGTTAGAGACCAGAAAGTATTGAACAGATGTCTCTCCCCTGTATAGGATTGCTCAGCAGTGCTTACTAACAGCTTTGCGTTCGATCTCTGGTAGGGTCATGAATTGTAAACTGGGTAGAAGTCTCAACTCATTAAGATATTACTGTCTATTGTTCCCTAATTCATAGTGGTGCCCAAGGTAAGGTTAATCAGTGAAGAATACTAGGTACAAATTATTAGGATCCTTGACTTTCAGATTAGAATTCCTCAAGTTCTCGTCCACAATACTTTTGTTCTCATATTGATTTTGCATACGATCCTGGTGCATAGTTCAACCTTAATTAATCCTCGTTTATAAGCTCTATTTAAACTATATTTGAATTCGGAATTGTATGACTGACTTATTACGATAGATACAAATCTGTTTACCCCGCTTATACCATAACACCGTTTTTCACTTGTACATTTCGATCAATATATTTGAATAACTCTAATCTGCAACAGGTCTATCTAAGCTTAAATAATTACTTGACAGTTTCCCCACGGTTATGACACTGGATAAGCCTGGTTTGAATACTTCAACGAATATCAATTTCATTCATTGTTGCTTAACTGTGCCTTCCAGAAGTACTTCGTATAGTCACTCATTAGTACCAGCATAGTTGTCATAAATGATCTGTGCTAACGAATAATGTGAGTTATAGGAATTCGCTGACCAATTTCACAAGGAAATCAATTCTCTTGTAGATTGTTGTTAATGTACTTCGTCAAAACCCGTGATTATATTCATTAGGGATTTGCATAACTCTTTTCCTTCTGATAGATGAATGAAATCTTCACAGCATCTATTGGTGAGACACAGACTATCCAAAAATCAATCAACAACTTGGTAAATACTAGAAACCAACAACACCAAATCACTATGATAGATGAGCAGTCACTGAATTCTCTGCCTATCGGAATGAATCTATCCCAAGAAATGCTAAAACTGGTCATGGCTTTATATGCTCTGAAACTACCAATTCATTCGATGCACAAAGATAGTAAAGCTACTCAGACTGAAGATCTAACAGATACATCACTTATCTCAGGTTATACTGGACTATCATCAAGATGTGTGAGTATTTCACAAATGGCCGCCAGTATATTCAGTTCAGATACAAAAAATTCAATGAATGATAGTCAACAAAATAAATCATGTCCATTTATTCGAGTTGTAACGCATAAAAATGGTATACTCGTTCATTTAGGCCAACTGATCAGTATATCTGAGGATCAGAGATCATTTATTATGCGCAATGTGATTAGTTTCGATCCGTTAAGAGTGAATGAACGAAAAATTTCAACATTAAAACCAGCGGAAATTCTTGCCCTCACTGAATCCAAACTTCAAAGTCAACATGGTAAAAGAGGAAATTTATTATCTGATTATTTACAAAATCATATGATGTTTAATGTTACAGAGAAGTAAGTTTGCAAGTTTTATTCTTTCTTGATGTGTGATACTTTGGTGAATTGTAGTTTTCTTTATATTAACTTTCACTCCCGACTGTTGCTGCTACCTTGACGTGGTAGACGGGCTTGTCTATCGTGCTGAACCAATCGATCTATACTGGCTGGAATAATCGTTCCTCAAGGTCCTACCATGCCAGGCAGGTCGGTTGAAGAGCTGTAAGACTAAAAGCAGCAATCCCAAGGTCCGAAGATGAAGTCGTACTGCCGACTATACAGAGGTGTGACAGCAGTAAGGTGTTTCCTTCAGAAAACCAGCATAACAGCGATGCTGCCTTCCCACAAGGAGGGGTGGGGTTAGAAAAGGTCGACCCTAAAAATGCACACCTCTCCTTATCCCACGGATATCCGTCTCCGGCGGTAAGGTCCTTTGAAGAACGGAGCTAACACGTCAAAAATCCCCCACAAGAAGGCCGTGCGTGACCGGCCTCAAGCAGTTGTCCCTTGAGCACTGCGGTCACCCTCCCTGGTCGTTAAGACCAGCACTAATGCAACTTCCTTTTCAGGTCCCTCAAGGAATACCTCTCCACGGTGTGGGCAGCCGGGAAGTGATATTAGCCTTCATACCCGTAACTTCACACGAGACCAAGTTGGTCACATTCAAATCCTTCCTACACCTAATAACTCTCTTATCTCCACAACTAACCCTTCCCACGTCTTTTCATCACCTCGCACCGCTAGGGCAAACGATTCGACTGACGATTAACTCTCATTTTCTGCATCTGTGTGAATTGAGTATATAACCAACTATATTAGATGTGTCCCAAAACAGACCATATCCATGTTCAGATTCTCACTTGATGTTATTGTTAAACAAAAAATCACGTCAAAAACACTGACTAATGAGTTCTGACCCATCAGTATATCAACTTTGTATTCCTTCATACTGTTGATAGGTCGTGCGAATCCACACCTCGTTCAAATCTCCAATCAGATAAAAAACCCTACTCCGATGATTGTATTTTACGTTCGATCTTAAGCTCCAAAATTAACGTTAAAAAGTTTTATTCCACTAGTTCAAAATTTCTAATCTAAATATCACCGTTTCCAAGTCATTTGTATTATCCCCAATACTGTTACTATTACAAATACTCTGGGATTTCCCCTAACAATTTCATTTTGTTGTTTGCTAATGGGATGTAGCGACTCAGACCTATGTACACCTGTGCCAGGCTCTACGTTGTATATGACTGACTGATACATATGTATTAATGGCACTACAATGTATAACTTGACATGTTTTGATACAATTGATTTACAGTGGTCTATCGGTTAAGCGTTCTGACGCGAGACTGGTAGGTCCTGGGTTCGAATCTCGCTGGGCGGGATAGTGGATGCACACTGCCACTGAGGAGTCCCATAATAGGACGAAACGACCGTCTAGTGCTTCCACGTTTTCCATGGTGGTCTAGCTTCAATTGGCTCATGATTTCAGCTATGAAAATGCTGAAATCTCCACAAAACCTCTTCTGAGTGAATTAACTGTAATTTATAAATGATGAAATGTATATCAATTCCAAGCGACATTTTCGGCAAAACCGGATGTTATGAGGTATGTGTAGAGGAAACGTATATTCCGCAGATGATCTTTTTCGGAAAATTTTTTTATGAAATTGAAATGTTTGATGAAAAATATTCAGGAAATGTAGGATTCTTTTTTCATGGGTTTGGAAGTGGTGCTTGGACGTCCCACATCCTTCAACTATTCTCAAAAAAACATGAAGAAAATCATTTAAAGAACATTGATTGTAGAAATGATAACAGTCCACGTTTCATAAATCCTTCTTTGAGCCTCTTTTCAACAACAAACATAATATTTGGTAAGTCTGGTGGACATCATTGTTATTTTTAAAGCATTTAACGTGGAACAGCATATTCGACGAAATCTCTCAGCATTGACTGAGCCGATCCAGAATATATGTTGCATAATCATAGCTACCACCTACCTCAGTGTGTGTTGGTGGCTGGAATAGGGGTAATATTGTGGGACGATGAATCGCTTGTGCACACTTGTTTCATCTATTCAGTGCAAATGTGTTGATTTAGTTGCTGGGCTGAAGATTCAGTTTTAAGAAATATTTAAGTCTATGCATCGTCCAGGTTGGAAATGATTCAATAGATCCATAAGCTAGACACTGATTTGGACTGAGCACACTAAAATAGTAGGATGTGTGAAAACCTCACTCAATGACATCCCATTGACTGACGACGGATTGATTTTGATAAATGAAGTTTTTGATCTCACGGTAACATTTATTTGTATGAATATTAGTGTACCGATATAGAGAAAGCTTTCATGTTTATACACGTGCGTGTTTTGTGAATCTAGCTCATCGTGCGAGAACAACAAGCAAGTGAATGTATCAGAGCAAAAACACGAGGCACTGCACGGTCCATTACTTATCACTCCCAGCGATGTTTTTATTCGTTTAAGCGAAGTACGTGAGTTAAGCATTGTCCCAGTGATTCGCTTTGACCACCCTAAGAAAATGCGACAGACCAGCTTGAAGCGTGAATTTAAAGGAGCAACTGAAGTCAAGCAATATGGCCTTAGTCAAGACATCGTTAATACAAGTAAATTGTCAGAGAGTACAAACAAGGGGTCGGATTCATCATTACAGTGTAATGAGTCTACAGATATTGCCAACAGCTCGGATAGTGTTGACCCATGTAACAATACTGGTCAATTATGTGCAGTGCTGACTGACGGCTTTTCTAAACAAACGGAAACTGACCAGAAATGTGGCAAGAAGTCTTCATTGAAGAAAGCAAACAACAAGATGGAAGAGAAAGTTGAAAGATTAGAAGAAGGAGGAGAAAAGTCAGACTCTTCGACGAAGCATTTAAAATTTTCCGAAAATAGATCTACCGCACAAATAAAATGCAACAACTGTAGGAATTGTAACAACAGCCAAAGTGTCCATCGAAATCTACCACGACAAGTCCCGATAGGACAGAAAGAAGTAGGTGAAGCAAAACCACTGTCTGTACACAAAACAAAAGGACGTAACAAGTCTGCAGAAGGTAGAAGGCGACGAGGACGACGTCTTCCGAACAAGCAAAGATATTCGGAGGTAAGTTTTTGGATTAGTTAGTTTTGTTTTGCATCAGCTATAGTTTTTGGTCGATTGATGGTTCGGAGTATTGTCTGAAAAGAATTGGGATTTTTGCAGACATTTATAAATATTTATGAGAAACCTTTAGACGACTGTTGACTTGACGAAAATCATTTATTGATTCCTTATTTTGATTAGCCAAATGAATAGTATCCTTAGTTATCCTCTATATAGAAGCTCGAAATGGAGTTCACCAACTTGTGTTTAGTAAAAATTGTGATCTGATTAATAGTACGTCTCATTTTAGAGTATCAGACATTTGTTGCAACTAATTATAGGGACTGGTATCATTCCGTTGTGTGCATTCGGGACTATGATTTATCAGACTTTACCGGTGTATTTTTATGTTTCGAGATCAGATGTTTCGCTTAAATTTTCTTAGGACGTGTCACAGCTGCATGTAACTGAGGATACTAGTGAGGATATTCTCAACGAATTCGTCTCACCACGAACACCATTATTAATAGATTTCAGATACATCCAAATGACGATAAACTCCTACTGCAGGATAAAATATGAGTCCTCAACTCCAAAGTTATTCTTTGTATACAATTTTGTTAAATCTTCTATTGAGTGAAAACAGAGAAGCAGATTGTATGCTTAGTTGTTTTACTAATAACCCATTATATTCGTGTTGTTTTGACCTGCTTTTATTGATTTAATGTTGACCACCTAGTAACAGTTGTTAGGGTGGCATTTTCTCATTTCTTCAGAATATATGTTAAGTGAAGTGTGTGTTCAACTGGAAGGAATTTAAAAACTGCCTACTATGTGATGCTTTCGGATATTTAGACCGGGTATTGAGGTAAACGCCTACCTTTTAAATTATCGAATCGTGACCAAATAATCCCCATTCCTAGCCTTAGTCTATTCGACATTAAGCTAGGCGACTACGCAAAGTGCTGACTCCTGAGAAATTCTATGACATAGCAAAATGATTACCTAGGGCCTTCTAGTTTACGCTGATACTGCAACCAACATCCATTTGTAATGAAAATTGACCCGCATAGAACATTGCTTATTTAAGCCAGTTGGTTTTGTCATACTTGATGAGTACAGTCGACTAGATTAACTGTGGAAACTAATGTCAGTCAGAGAATATTGATCGTTTGTGTGATGTTAGCATTGAACTCTTTGGAATTACTTACTGTGAACCGAAAACAAGAAACGAAAGTTTAACATCAGGAAGTGATATCAGTCTACAAGGTTACTGACTATCGATTTAAGCCATGTCTGTAGGCGCTGGACTTTGTGCAACAACTGTGATCATGAAGCTAGAAAGTCCCAAAAAGGATGAACATGACTCGTGGATTCCACTGCTAGCTACATCACATCCATTCATTTAAACTGGTTGGAGATGTCAGGTAACATAGCTAGCGGTGGTGTTCAGTCATTTGTTCATCACTTTCTAATTCATGAGTCTCAGTATTATTTCATACTTGTTCTACAAACTTACTACGTTTCTCGAAACCAGTTCTCTATGTTTTGTCTGTTTTATTGTGATTAATTACTACTATCATTATTCCGACTTGTTTGTTATTCCTTATTTTAAATTTCATCTTTCATGTACTGTGATATGATATAGTAACCTGTACCGAATCAAGTTTCTATCACACGACACACCAACTATGATTGATTGACTGACCTATTCACTTTGTCCTGAAGACTTTTACTTGGCATAAATAAGTGTCAGGTGGAAATAAGTCTCCTTTAAGATAAAACCAAATCATATTTAAAGTTATGTGCCAAAAACTACGTTTTCGCTAGTATAAACAATAAAAGTTCCTTATAGATAGATTTTTACTTACATTATAGGGTGACGGGAAAACACAATCTAAATCTGTCAATATTTCCAGTTCATCATTCTTGAAATGTCCAACATCTACACCACATTTAACAAATGGTCGTTCTGAAACATCATCAAAATGGTACGACGATGGTATTGTATCGATAACAATTCATCAGTCATCAACAAATTCAACTATGAATCATTCACATAGTTTATTCAAATCAAGACCGAGATCCCCAGTGAAAAATCGCAGCTTGAAATGAAGGAAATCCAGTTGATGAAGATCAGTCATCGCTTGTATCTCTTAATTTAACATTTACTCTTGGTCTGTCGAGATTATCAAATGTGTTCCATTTATCTGATTTTCAACAATACAGGAGTCTGATTATAGTGTTTCTCATTTATACTCTAGATTCATGCAAACTTATTGATGAAAAGAAATATGCATTCATCAATCTGATCATATTATAGTCGATCATTATAAAACTTTATTTAATGTTAGATGGCGGTCATCAGTTGATCACCTTGACCCAGATTTTAATGTTATTTGGTTGATCAGTAAAATGTGTCAACGATCTTCAACTAAGTGATACCTCAATCCAGTAAGATTCAAACTGGCTTTCTTAATGATCTACTGACAGTAAGAGATTATAGGCGCCACTACAGAAGGATTTCAAGTTAGAATAATAAAACACTCAAGCGAAAAATATACATTTCTGACGAACAGACAAAATTTAAGTTAGTTTCATGGAGCTTTGAGCGAAAATGAAGGTGCAATGGTGGACAGCATATTTCGTACGAAAACTTAAGTAAGAAAGAGGTAGAACCTAACAGTATTCAGTCAGTAAGATGTTTAAAATTAATTAATGACAACAACAAAAATAAGGAACACATATGTATTTGAGGTATTTACAAACCTGGAACATAATGGATGGATTTGTGAAGGTAATTTAAAGATTTCTAATATTTGAAATCATACAACTAACTGTACATGTATTTATCATTGTGGCTATCAAGCATTCTTCCGTACTCCATTCCTAACTGTCGCCATTGACTCCCCCCAAATAACCCTGGTACGGCTGAGAGTGGGGAGAGTTCGCTCTCCCTCTCGAAATGCTCTCATATAGCCACGCGAATATAGCCTCTGCCAGGGAAGTCCTACTCACTGCCTTCTCGCACCACGAGTGTTGTTTACGAAATTTAGTGGACGAAAAGTGAATGTCCGGAGATTTAACCGGGTTGATGGACACGGTGAGTCCACCGAGGGAAGTTAGAAAACCCTGATTTCAAACCAATGGTGCACATGGGCTCCAGTATCCTGAGGGAACAATTGGCGTATGAATCAATCGATGATCACCGACTACCATGGGACTGCATTTCTTTACGATGCTCCACTGCCTTTTGGATCAGATCTTTAGATCAAAGACTCTAGGTGTGTTCCCCTAAGAAAACCACCTGCTTCGGTTTGGGCACCTGGGCAGTATCACAGCCCTAACATAAATCAAATGAGATTTGTGCGGCGCATATGTATCTGGTGCTTCCTTGTACCAATATTTATGTGTTAAAATAAATAAATAAAACGACTCTTAATCCGATCCCTTCTCAAGTTGTCTAAAGAATAGTCCTATCATATCATCTGCATTCCGAGTGAATAAAAATTAGTTTTGCACTCCCAAAGTCATTTGACAATCACCGAAAGTCGCCAATAGAACACATCTCTGTTAACAATTATTCAGCAAACTAGTATCATCATTAAAATGATTTGCAACTTTGGTGAATAGACAATCGTAATTGAGTTTTCCTTTTAACGAAGTAGTTTATCAACATCATTGTCAGAAGAACACGGGTAGGCAACAATAAGTTCGCTTCTCAAGTATCCGTTTGTTATCTAAAATTCATCATTATTTGCTTTTTATTTGGATTAAAGTGTTACTTACTTACTTACTGGTTAGCGTTTTTTTTGCGAGTTGGTTTTCTACGGGATGGGGTCGCTAACCCCATACCCAACCCTTCTCCTTTACCCGGGTTTGAGACCGACAGTAGCCCCCAGAGGAACTACAGGCGGAGTGTGTCCACATTCATAAATAGCAACAACAGAAATAATAAAGTATTACTAAGTGGATAGACGAAATGAGAGTACCCTCACTATTCATATAAGAGCATAATTAAACACATTTTCTTGTGAACACTTACCTGAAGCGATAAAATCAAAACATCAAAGTTTAAAAACAAGTCAATTTAATTGAACATTGAACTAGTTTTATTCACTTCGTTTCTTTCAAAACAAAAGAATTGTTCGTTACATAAACAAAAAAGGAAAAAAGAAGCATAAGAATGATTGAACATTAAGTCAAAGTTATTTTGTTTTATTATCCATTTACTAAATTGCCTAAATCACCACACATCCACCTTTTTCTTGGAATGGATTATCTTTCTTACTAGCAAATCCTGAAACTAAACAATCTTTATCACGATTCTGTTCCATATACACAATCATTTCTTGTACACATTCAGAGACAGGACGACGATTTAAATTTGCTTCTTGACGTAATTGTTCAACTAGTTTACGTTGTTGACTTAAAGTTGACATATTTTTATTTTGACTAGACTGTCACTTTTGTTCAATGATAAATCCTTTAAGACAAAGAAGCAAAACAGACCAATATGTAGGAAAGATGAATATTGTAGTGTTTTCAACATAAACATTTAAAGGTTATGAATATTTTTGGAATAGAGAGAAGTCAGCTAATGGAGTCAATTAATGGATCGCTAGATTGAACCTTATTCCATTTATCTGATTGGACCAATGTAGCAGTATCAGTCGATGGCTGTCATTCGTTGAATAATAATACGTAATTGGAGGAGAGTGTTTTTATAACTGTCAATAACTGTCAACATTAGCTAAACTGTACTTAGTAAAATCAGTAAGATACATCAATCTAAGCAGTTTCAATGAAGCTGTATAGGTTTCAATGATTATGTAAGGATGGCTCGTTGGTAAACTCTAGGGTGCCTTAATAAGCCCAGAAAGAGCCGAAGACATTCCATTCAATCACTGCTAGGGGAATATTCTAGAATGTCAACGTGTAGCTTCCCCATTGGATGGATAAGAATGACCACTTTGTGCCTATTGATTGTTCGAAATGATAATCTACTCTCAGTCAAAAAACGATAAGTACATGAGATTTCTGTACTATATTTTGACACTGCTTTGGGGAATAAACTTCCTACTTACTAGTCTTCCGTCTTCTCTCTTGCGACGTTCAGGGTTCGATCGTTCAAGTAGTCTAGTAGTAGGCGGCATAGTAAGAATCAAAGCTCTAGATATAACAGATTATTTAATTCTAACCACTTCATGATTTCAAATCCGGACTAGTATATATGCACAGACTAGAAAATCCTGTAATAGGATTATCGAATAATTCCTTCAAGATTACATTTTACCGTGTACTGTATACTAATGCTTTCGCCTAGTTATTCCTGTAGTTGTAAACGGTCTATTTATAGGTAGATATTTTAGTCATTCAAGCAGTTCATCATTCTTTTCTGGATCAGGATTTTAACACTGTTCAGTGCAATTTTCTTTAAGTATCTAAGATATAATTGATTAAGTTGTACTGTAAAAAATCTTTTAGTATCGTTATGACTTGCTCAAGGTCGTCGCTAATTTGTTATGACCTTACAAATTAAACAAGGACGTAACTCGCGTGAATTATCCACCAATAGAAATACGACTTCTCCGACCTTAACACAGTGGCAATCAAGGACGTCCAATCAGTATGAGTAATCTCGCGTCCTTATTGGTCCTTAACCCACCTAGCTCTTCCACTTGAGCCAAGAACACCAATAGCAGCTGCTGTTATGCGAATCGTTTATTTCAAGCATATTCTGTTTATAAATCAGACAGACAGACCACATCACACCATCAAATAGAAAAGCCAAATGTGGCTGTGAGCGTGGGAGACAGTATTCAATAAACCGAGTATAATTTAGGAACAGTAAATCGTTTCATAATAATCTATCGGTCAAAATGAAGCTTATAATAAGATGAATATAGATTTACATAATCTAGTTACTGAATAGTTATACAATAGGAATACACATAGAATAATAGTCCAACAATAGGTCCAGGGAGTTATCCGTACTTATGTCTTCGCTAGTATATGACAAGTATATAAGTAATTAATAACTATAAATGATCACAGTACTACACAGTAATTAATTCATGGCAACTTCACAAATTGTAATAATCTGTAAAATATTCAATTCAACACAATGAAGAATTCAAGTGATTTCAACTGAAACAGGATAGTTTGATAAAAAATTCTAATTTTCATAGTTGAAATCATGAATCAATTGAAGGTAGACTATCATGGAAAACCTAGAAGCACTGAACGACTGTTTCATCCTATTATGGGACTCTTCAGTGGCAGTACGCATCCACAATCCCGTCTCACCTCGAGAGCGAGTAACATACCCAAAAATAAGGTAAATAATCAACTCACTGAATTGAATTTAGAATCACAATGTTCCAAATATGAAAATGAATAAATAAATCCGTTAATTAACCTTTTATATATATTTAAAATGAGAAATATTCCTTCCTTCTTATTATCGATCAATAATTTATAGAGAAGAAGGATAGGAAAATAAATTCAAAATGAATCATCCAATCAAAATACAGAAGATAAAATCAATGATTCCATTTTGATTGGTTCATTAAAAAAATCGATGGTTATTTACATCAATGTCTATTGAATTTTATTTTTTTTTCTTTTATTTTTTTTCATTTTTCTACATAAATTATAGGGATGTTTAGGTCTGTAATTGATCAATGTCTTATTGGTATATGTGTATTCTGTGAGTATTGCCTTGATATAGTCTTCATTCACAAGGATTATAAGTAAAGATGGATAGTGGTTAGCATTGGAATTCAGTTTGAATCGCGATATTTCGTTCTATTTAGGACTCGTCAGTTGGATGTACTTACATCTCAGAGTTGATGTTTACTCCGAGACTTGATCCCAGTACCGTTCACCCTATCGCACAAGCAGGTGGCTATCAGGACTCATTAGCTGAGTGAATAACGCGATGGTATTTAAAGCAAACGGTACTGGGTTCGAGTTCAAGAGTGAATATCAACTCTGAAATACAGGTACATTCAACTGACGAGTCCCAAATAGGACGAAGTGACGCGCATCAAACTGAATTCCACTACTAGCCACTATCAATCTTTACTTATAACGAATAGATTGTTTAGAAATATTAACTATACTGTAAACAGATAAAATCATTTCGATTAAAGAATAAATCGTAATTGTGTAAATTTTATTTAATCATCTTCTGTATAATTCTCTAGGTTGAAGAGTTCAATTCAACTTTCTTTTGAAAATTTGAATGCTTTAATGTAATTCACATTGTGCTGTGAAATTAATCAACTTTCTGAATGAAGTTCAATACAGTTAGAATTCACTTATTGAATAACTTCATATAGGATACTTCTATTATTTGGTAGCTTGAATTGACCGAGAATGATCACATATATCTTATAATCAATAAAGCTTTGAACTACTTCGTTGTTTATATTCAGGACTGATGTTTGATCAATTTTCACTTGTATATATGGATCCTGTGTGGTTTGTCTCTATATAGTCATTTTGTCACAAGTTTAACAGAACACATGTGTTGTAAGTAGCAGTGGAGTTTATGTCCCCCACTACTCTTCACTGCGAATGACCAACTGGTTAGTCGTTGAATAACCGATTCCAAGTAGTTAGTAGCTCATTCAACAAGTGAGGTGTTTATATCATCATTAGTGAGTGTTTGAAATGTTATAATGTAAACACCAACACTGTGATATATATATGGATTCTGCTGACAGGTGCAAATAAGATGAAATGCATGTCCTAGGTTTCATGGTTAGTCATAATCTATCCATTCATAACAACATGGTACATGAAAGCTGTTTGTGGCTATTAAAGTGACCTTACATCGAATGCTTAGTTTTTATTGATGGTTTTTCGATGCTAAATACATTAAGTATCCAATACTTTTTCCTTCTGTCTACATTAAACTGAAGTACTTGATAAATAGTTGGAAAAAGTCAATTTCCACATAAATAAACTTTAGATCATTTTTATCTAACAATGTTATTTTGTCTGATTATCAGCTCTTCGAAACATAAATATCAAACATAAGAAGAATCATTTGTCTATTTATAATACTTCGTCTGATGCATTGAGATGCATTTGGTTGACCCCAATTTTGTCTCCGTCCACTACTTACTTACGCCTGTTACTCCCAATGGAGCATAGGCCGCCGATCAGCATTTTCCAACCCACACTGTCCTGAGCCTTCATTCCTAGTTCTATCCAACGTTTTTTCATTTTTCTCATGTCTGTCTCCATTTCTCAGCGTAATGTGTTCTTTGGTCTTCCTCTTCTCCTTTGGCCTTCAGGATTCCATGTGAGAGCTTGTCTTGTGACGCAGTCGGGTTATTTCCTCAATGTGTTTCCTATCCACTTTCAGCGCTTCTTCCTGATTTCTTCCTCCACTCGGATCTGGTTAGTTGTCTCTCACAGTAACTTGTTGCTGATAGTGTCTGTCCAACGGATCCGAAGTATTTTGCATAGACAACTGTTAATAAACACTTGTATCTTTTGGATGATGGCTTTCATAGTTCCCCACGTCTCCGCCCCACATAGTAGAACTGTCTTGACATTTGTATTAAAATTCTGATCTTGGTGTTGGTTGACAATTGTTTTGAGTTCCAGATGTTCTTCAGTTGTAAATATGCTGCTCTTGCTTTGCCGATCCTCGCCCTCACATCTGCATCAGATCCACCGTGTTTATCAATGATGCTGTTCAGATATGTAAAGGTTTCCACATCCTCCAAAGCTTCTCCGTCAAGTATAATTCGATTGGTGCATGCTGTATTGTATCGGAGAGTCTTGCTTTTCCCTTTGATATATTGAGAACTACTGCTGCTGAGGCTGCTTCTACACTGGTCGTCTTCTCCTACATTTGTTGTTGCGTGTGTGATAGTAGAGTCAGACCATCTGCGAAGTCTAGATCGTTCAGCTGCATCCTAGCTGTCCAATGCATTCCGTGCTTCCCTCCAGATGTTGACGTCTTCATGATTCAGTCTCCGTCCACTTCAGTACTAATCAATTATAGTTCTTAAAGAAAATGGGAAGATTTACACAACCTACACAGATGAATTGTGCTATGAATTGCCACAAAAACAATGAAAACAGCAAAAAAATTACTCCAACATTCTAATATTTTCACATGTGTTGCACAAAATCGCTACAAATACTATATTAAAATAGTACTATTATTATTATTATTATTATTATTATTATTATTACTATTAACTTCAGCATCCTCATCACCAAACTAATCACGTTGCATAAAGTTGTAGTGTGTGCTACTGATATCGACAGATATAAATAGTATGCATAACCAATCGACAGAGGAATGCCTGTTAGCAGGAGGTTGACAAGTTCGAATGGAAGAAAACGAGAACACAGAGTGATTGTTGTGGAAATGAAGGAACAATGAAGTATGAGACAATCGGTGGATGTTTTGAGAATGGAATATTTAGTGAATGGTAGTCAGATTTTAACAAGTCATTCAGTAATGTTGTATTGACATGTATTTGGTTCACCACACTTGTGTTCTTGTCCACCACAATACTAAGCAAAACTAATTTAGTTACAGTTGTCTTTCGGAATATTCTCCAGTTCCATATGAATTGTTTAGTTTGAGTTGAATATTGTTATTTTGAAAGGGAAAACATTCGGTTAATGCAATCACCAGTCTGGTATTTGAGTTAAACAAGTCTATGAACAATAGTAACTGGCCAGATTTGATGATGATGATGATGATTTGAATGGTGATGATGATAAATTAAAATACTTCAAGTCGAGTTTGTTGAACTGAACTAAATCGAATTGTAAAGGAATGCATTTATCTCAAATTGAAGAATGACAGTGATGTGTTTCATTTAAAATGATATGTCAGTACCGTGCGGTCGGTTGCGGCCCAAATATCTATGGTAACGTCTCTGACTGTGAAGCTGAGTGACACGGCATCGAATCCGTCAGGGAGCACCAGTTCTCTCAAGACTACAGGTACACCTTGCCGACGAGTGCCAAGTAGCACGAAATCCGGGTCTAGTGTTTCCTGTTGACCACCTCCAACCAAATTTTGGTAACAGTTTATTAACAAGAAAAAACTTGAACCAAAAGTAAACAATATAAAAACCGTTGCGTTTAAACATGGGTTAAGTAAATGCATAAAATTGTGAACAACTGCTACAATGATCAAGACAAAGTAATTTTAATTATAAATACATTAAGTGTTATAAGTATATGTAAATATTTCAGAATATTACACAAGCTTTCATTACAACATATGCGTACAAATTGCTTGGATACAGCTACTTACTGAATATAAATAAGTAGTATAAAATAATACACAAAAGATTCGAAAGGAACAATATGAAAACCGTTGCTTTTAAACATGGGTTAAACATATGCATAAAAGATGTCATTCGAGCTTGCTATTCCATTTACAACAGATCAGTGCTACTAGGAAGACTAAGAAAATTCTAGAATTTTCGTGTGTGTGCAGTTTGTGTATTAAATGACACCTTTCACATCACTGAATTAATTCTCTGTTTACAGCGGAATATATCTGCATTTTTGTACATGTCATGTCTTGATTTGGGAGTTGGACTGGAAAACTGAAGTGCCCAAATATACCAGGCCGAAGAGGGAGCCTTAACAATTCGTATTAGCCAGACTTAATTTAACCTGAAAACCGTTATTTAATTTTTGAAAAGACCGCACACTCAACGTCATCAAGCATCAAAAACTTGAGTTTCTATTCATTTGGATATGACTAATAAATTGTTACATTATCATACAATACAGAAAATGTGTTGGTTTGTTTGCTTTTGCCTTGATGAGAATGTAAACGAATGTTAACTGATGAATAACGAAGGACTCTCGTTGCCGTATTGTATCATATAAGTAAACAACTTTACAAAATTTACCTTAGTTAATAATTCTTGTACATAACCGATCAGCTACAAAATGTAATCAGCATAATTGTATCTAAATAACATTTGTTATGCTCAATGGTTGTCAGTTAAACAATCACGGTTTGATTAGATCTTTCTTAATTTGTATGGATGGTACTGAGATAAGATGATGGTTGGAGGTGGTCAACAGGAAACTCTGGACCCGGATTTCGTGCTACTTGGCACTCGTCGGCAAGGTGTACCTGTAGTCTTGAGAGAACTGGTGCTCCCTGACGGATTCAATACCGTGTCACTCAGCTTCACAGTCAGAGACGTTACCACTGAGATATCCGGTCCGCGACCGACCGCACGGTACTGACACATCATTTTAAATGAAACACATCACTGTCATTCTTCAATTTGAGATAAATACATTCCTTTACAATTCGATTTAGTTCAGTTAAACAAACTCGACTTGAAGTATTTTAACTTATCATCATCATCATCATCATCATCATCATCATCATCATCATCATCATCATCATCATCATCATCATCATCATCATCATCATCATCATCATCATCATCATCATCATCATCATCATCATCATCATCATCATCA